ACATACAAATATTTCTTTTAAAATAAACACATTTTTTCAAAGACCAAGGTATGAAAGTTCATCCTTGATTATTTCCTATGTGCTTGTCCAGTTCTTAAATTACCTAAGCCTTCGTCTCTCCTCTATGGTTCAGGACTTTATTTTCCAGTTTATTACCCCCCTCCCTCCAGGGTGGGCAGATTAAGGGACAACGTACTGAAGTTCAAAACAATTCTTTTCCTACTCGTTATATCAGCTTATTTTAAGAAAAACCACTGTCTTTTCTCTCTGCTGTTCATAAACTGTATTGAGCACTTGAAGATGATTTCTAGACTTGTTGTTTGTATCATTTTAACACTTTAGGATTCTGACCATGGCCTTGCTTAGCCAAGCTATATTCATTTGCTTCTTTTAATCTCCACCATTAATCAATTTGCCGATTCTGCATCCTTCTCTTTTCTTCTTAAGTGAAAGATGGATTAAAGGATAGGATTTCTTACCTCCTGCCACCATAAAACTAAAGCCCAAAGGGGTATAAGACTTAAAAGCGAGGATTTCAGATGTTTGGGGCTCTCTACTCACCAACGGTCACATTCATTTTAAATGCATATTGAAGCCAAATTGTGGAAAATACCAAAGTGCACATTAAAAAAAAATTCAGTGGATACACTGTGGCATAGTAATGACCAAGTAGAGTGAGATCCTAGGTCTCTGACAGGAATCTGGTTCAGATGCTTCCTAAATGCCAGGCTTTGCCAGTGGAGGGAAGGAATAAAAATGAAATGAAAGACTGGTACTGCAGAGCTGCTAATTAAAATAATTCAGAGAACATAAATGCTAGAGTAATTTTGGACCTGCCATATCAGGCTGGTTTCAATGCAAATGTAGTGTTCCGATTTCTTCCTTCTTTGGGAAGATATAATTAGCTCAGCTGCAACAGGGTGGAAGCCTCGAGGCAGCCGTTTCCTGGTGCTGCCAGCTCCCCCATGATGGAGAAACAGCTGCCACCCGCCCCTCCTGCCATGGATCGCACAGAGCTGGGGCCACCCTGCAAGGCTGCTCACAAGCCACTATGAACAGAGGCTCAGGCTGCCACTGGGACTGGTTCTTGCTTAAAGATAAGGGACATGTTACTCCTTAATAATCCAGTTGACTCTAGGCCCAATCGCCATCCTTCCATATAAGATAGCCTTGGTGAACTCAAAAATCCTCCTCCATTACTGTGGCAGGAAGGATACTTAAGACTGGTGATGATAGCCCACATTGGGCAGCTCCCCACCTTGGAGTGTGCAGGCTTTTGGAGAAGCTAGGAACAAAACAATGGAGAAAATGTGCCCACAAATGAGAAACCAGAGCTGTAAGGAGAACACATTCCCCAGCTGATGTGGCAGAGAAGATGAAGAGACACTATGATGGGGACAGGCTCAATGCTAAGCTTATGGATGATCCAACAGGTGGGTAACTCATGTGAAAGCAAGAGTGTCCTGGGAAATAGCCACTGCATGATGTACTCAACTCACCTGCAGAAACAGAGCACCAGCTTCTACTTGTCAATTTGACAGACTCAAGAGAATGGACTCTACTGACAGACTTTTGATATTTAAATAAGCAATACTATTCTACAAATGAGTTCTATGACAATAAATACTTTCATGGAACCAAAAAGTGTACCACCATTTTGAAATTTTAGAGAAGGCAAAATAGAATGCATAATTTCTTAGTTGTCCTAAGCTACCATCAAATTGTCAGGTTCTTACACCCATCATCCATTTTCCTACCGGCTCCACCCAGGCCATCTATCATAGACGCCAACAAAAGGCCGTTTTTTCCTCCTCCTTCTCAATGGGAACAACAAACAACCAAGCAAACATACAGACCCTGCAGCTGCCACTGAGTAATGACCATGGTGGGGGGATTAAATCAATGTGGCATCTGAAGAACATTTCTTAATGACTGGGATAGTTCCATGAAGACCATTTAATAAATAAAGGAACTGGGAATAGTTATTTCGTCCAATCAATTCAGAAGGAAATACTTCAGGAAAATGTCACTTAAGTGGAGGATTTTCTTTTCAACAAGTCAGAATATATGGTAGATGACAAATGACAGTGTTTTTATAATGCATAAATGACCAAGGTTAACTTCTCATGTCTATTACGATGGTCACTGTTTTGTTAGTATTTTTTAGGCTTTTTTACTGAGATACAATTCATATACCACAATATTTACCCTTTTAAAGTATACATTCAATGGTTTTAAGTATATTTACACATATACTAAACAGTCATCACACTATAGAATTCTAGAACATTTTCATCACCCCAAAAAGAAACTCTATATCCAGTCACTCCTCGTTCCCCATTGCCCCCTCAGCTCCTGGCAACCACTAATCTATTTTCTGTCTGTATGGATTTGCCTATTCTGGACATTCCATATAAATGGAAGCATGTAGTATGTGACCTTTTGCGCTTGGCTTTCTGCACTCACCATAGTGTTTTCAAGGTTCATCCACGTTGTAGCATGAATAAGTACCTCATTCCTTTTAATTAATGAATAATAGCCCATCATATGGATGACCACATTTTATCTGTTCACCAGTTAATGGACACTGAAATTGTTTCCACTTTTGAGCTATAATGAATAGTGCTGCTATTTCGTTTGTGTACAAGTTTGTGTGCGTGTGCGTGTGTGTGTGTGTGTGTGTGTGTGTGTGTGTGTGTGTGTGTATGTGTGAACATATGATTTCAATTCTCTTGGGTATATACCTAGGGGTAGAATTGCTGGGTTATATGGTGACTCTGTGTTGAACATTTTGAAGAACTGCCAAACTATTTCCAAAACAGCTGCACCATTTTACATTCCCCCCAGCACTTAATGAGGGTTCCAATTTCTCCACATCCCCGTTAACACTTCTTATTGTCTGTTTTGCCAAGTGGTTGTGAAATGGTACCTCACTGTGGTTTTGATTTACATTTCCCTAATGACTAATGATGTTGAGCATCATTTTATGTACTTATTGGCCATTTGTACATTTTCTTTGGGACACCAAAAGAAACTTAAACCCTTTGCCTATTTTCTGATTGGGTAATTTATCTTCATATCATTGAGCTTTTCAGTCTTCTTCCTCTGAATTATTTTTCTAGAGATTGTAGAAAAGGACACTGAGTTCTAGTTAGTTCAGTCCCAGTTTTGAGAATGAAACATAACTTTATTGATTTGGATAATGATAAGGCTGAAAATATTTATCGAGCCCTTGTTTTGTGCCAGGCACTCTGAAACCTTTATTAACTTACTGCGAAAGGGAGAGCTATTGCTTGTGCCACATGTTTCTTCCTTGGATGCTCAAGGTCAGCAAAGATTTCTTAAGGAAGAACTCACGTGTTCCTTTGTCTCCTGAGACCGGGAAACGCCCCTATCCCCGCTCCCTGCCAAGGGAGCAGAGCTAACAGAGAAGATGCATCCATTGGCAGGCAACCTCCCGCCATGTTTTAGCTATCTGGAATAAACTAGTCAGTCATTGCTAGACTCAGGACAGGTGCTTTGCAACTCTGTTTTGAACACCTGAAGTTAAGACTGCCCATGTTTCCTGCAAATACACCCAAGAAAATCCTTTACAATTTGGTCTCCATCCTTTCTTGCTATATAAAACGTGGACAGTGCTCATCAAGGTGACAAAGGAAGAAACCCCACAAATCAATCTATAGAAGAATACGCAGCAAGGCAATGGATTCATTGTCTTAGACTAATTGTAGGAAAGTCAGCTCGGCTAAGGGGCAGAGGCACTGGAGGTGAGGGAGGCTGCAGGGAGGAGTACAGGAGACAAACTGAGAAGGCTCCTCCTCAAGCGTAAATCATAAAGGGCAGAGCAAAGGTGAGCACAGGCATTTTCTTCACCAGCCCTAACCTAGTATGAAAGTTAGTGGAGCTCTAAGTTTTATCCTCTTAGGTAATATATTTCTAGAACATTTATTTCTTTTTCTTCCTATATCCCTCTCTTTTTAAAAATCAAGCAAAACAATAAGAAAACAAAATTGGTGGTTTGAGGTGGTAGAACACAACCCAAATCTTCAATATCATGACTTCCCAGTTTCCAGAAATAACCCTTTTCTTTCATACCCAAGTTCTGAGATGTCAGTTAACAAATCTAACATGCCAAGGATGCCAACTCCAGGTAATCAGTGGATTTGAATTTTTGTCTATAACTCTAGCTGTTAGTGTTTCAAATGGTGGAACCCCAGGCAGACTCAGTAGGACAGAACCTCTTACCAAGATGGCCACCAGCCAATCCACTTTCAGCCAAGATGGCTCTGAGTGGGAACTTCTAGGGTCTTAGTGTACTTTCATTTATGTGAACCAGTTCACCTTAGATCAAGCCTCAAACAAAGGCTCCTGGCATAGTTTCACAGAATCAAATCCAAACCTCAAAATCCTTTAACCTCATGGCCTCCTGGAATTTTCCCAAGGGTTCCCCTGGCAGAACACTCACGCTGAGAACTTTCCTCTTGGAGATCTCACACACAGCTCTGGAGAGCCATGGAAAGAGCAGGACGGTGTTGTGGGCTGAGCTGTGTCTCCCCCAAATTTATATGTAGAAGCCTTAGCCCCTAGAATCCCAGAACACAGCTGTATTTGGAGACAGAGCCTTTAAAGGGTTGATTAAGCTAAAGTGAGGCCGTTAGGGTGGGCTCTAATCCAGTCTGACTGGTGTCCTTATAAGAAGAGGAAATTCAGACACACAGAGAGACCCCAGGGATGCCCGTGCACAGAGAAAAGGCCACGTGAGGGTGTACATAGTGAGAAGGCACTGTCTGTAAGCCGAGAAGAGAAGCCTTAGAAGAAACCAACGCTGCCGTCACCTTGATCTTAGACTTCTAGCCTCTAGAACTGTGAGAAAATCAATTTCTGTTGTGTAAGCCACTTAGTCTGTGGTATTTTGTTGTGGCAGCCCTAGCAAACTAATACAACGAGGGAGCCCCAGGGAAGGATGGCCCTGGGGTCTCTTTTTCGGTACAGCCACTCACCCTGTAGTAGTCAGTGCTGTACACGTCCCGGGACATGCCGAAGTCCCCGATCTTCACCAAGAGGTTCTCGCCCACCAGGCAGTTCCGGGTGGCCAGGTCTCGGTGCACGAAGTGCTGGGACGCCAGGTAGACCATGCCCGCAGCGATCTGCTGGGCGATGTGCAGCATCTGCGACTGCGTCAGCTCCGTCGGTGGGTTGCCCTCGGCCATCAGCACGGCATCAGGTCCGTGCGCCCTGGGGAGAACACAGAAGACCTTGCTGGAGCCTCAGCTCTTTGCCTTGAGGGGCCCTTTGCCCCACATCAGCTGCTGGTGTGGAAAGATGCTGCCTGACTTAGCAAAAGAGGAGGGAAGGATGCTTCACCCACAGTTTTATCTCTAAAGCCTCTAGAGCACCTAGGCTTTATTTCCTAGAAAGTCTAGCATTTCCAGGGCCATGTGGGCCTGAATAGTGCCCCCCTCGACACACAGACAGGTTCACATTTTAGGGTTCTGGAACTATGCTGGGATCAGGCACTGGCTAGATCCCAAGACCCTGAAAAGCAGTGGGTGGACGAAGCAAAAAACAAGCAAACAAAAAAACCCAAATCAAAATAAAACACTGCGGGCAGAGTTTGGCTCTCCTGGAGTGAGGGTTCACTGCACCCTAGCAACTCTGTCCTCCCAGTCACATGCTGCAGCAGAGGGCCCTCACTCCCTCCAGAGTGCAGCTCTGCTCTCCCCTACTCCACCTGCCCCGTGGCCCAACATGGCTTCAAGCTGCCCATGTTATCCCCAAGCCCAACTCAGCAGAATCCCAGGGCAACCTCATTCCGGACATTCATTCCCAGTGAAAAATACCATCTCCTTCGTACCACCCCTACCCCTGACCTCCAGCTCAACACATGTCCTGGGCACCACATAGGAGAGCCTTTTGAATCACAACACATTTATTCTTTTACTGGGGCGAGTCTTATTCCCCACACTACGGCGGCGGGCAGAGGGGAGCAGCGAAGTGCGGTGTCTTATACCTTCTTTATCTCCTGTCTTACACACCCAGCCTTTTCCCAGCTATGTGACAACTTAAGGTATCTTAACACTGGCATGTGCTTCAGGGAGCGGAGGGTCCCAGTCTTAAGACGCTCTCATGAACCCA